GATAGGAAAAACAACGACAACGCTGCCCGACGGCGAAATTCAAGCGACTGCGGCGCGGCGCACAGCAAAATCAAAAACCAACGGACACATAAACGTCAAAAAAGTGAGGTTGAGTTGTGTTCAGCGATGCTTAGAGCTGTCACAATAATGTCGCTACAAATTTATTACGATATCACATGAACGCATTCTTTGACTGTACTACCCTCTTCCAGATGTCGCGCCTCCTTTTTCTTCAAAATCTAAAACACTATATAGAAAATGATAAAAATTACCTAAATATGTAACATATTATCCTTACATTGCCTCGCGTTCTTATTTTGCATGAACAGAAAATATTTTAGTCAAACAATTAATTTCAGAAACAAAAATAAAAAATTCAATCAAAAACTTTTTATTATGGCGAGAAAATTTAACACATCTGTTGTGCCAATTCGTAACTTTTTACTGCTGGAAATTTTTGACAGTTGCTCTGGTGCAAAAGAAGTTGAGTAATTAAAATCAGAAATTATACAAAAAAGACATGTCTCCACTGACTTTTATTCTTCTAGAACTAAAAGCCATGCATTTATTAGACGCCTTAGTAATAAAATTAGAACAAAAAAATTCTTCAAAACCGTCAGCCCGGAAACCTCCACTAGTACTTAATGTTTATCGTTTATCGTTTATCTGTCAATACTTCAACTGCATTGTACAATGCAACAAACAATGCAGCAATACGTCAAATCTTTGTAGTGACAGTTCTTCAATACCTCATACCTCCATCAGTACTTCAATACTTCAACCTCCAACTGCTGTGGAATTGAGGATATTTATCCCTAGTTTTCACATTTCACTGGAAAGGACTAACTCAGAAAGCAGCATATCCGTTTCCGACAGCTTGCCAATTTTATAACCGTTGGAATTCGAAATGCTGGCGCCCGATAAGTATCTCACTCCTATGAAACAAATGACTGGCGCTGAAGAAAATCGACACTTTCTGCGTGCTTTTATTCACACCTATCGCGATCTTCCAGTTCTTTGGGACACTTCTCTACGGGATTACACGAATCGAGACAAACGAGCCGAAGCCTACGAACAGCTTGTCCCAATCTATCGCTACCTCAAACGTGATGCAAACGTAGAAGATGTAAAGAAGAAGATTAACACATTGCGAACAAACTACCGAAAAGAGTTAAAAGTTGTGGAGAGCGCCCGTCGAAATGGTACCGTTCATCATCCACGTTGTTGGACGTTTCATGAATTGGATTTTCTACGAAATACCGAGAAATTTCTGGCAGTCAATCCAAGTACGCGGGGCGATAATTTCTCAGCATTTAGCGAAAATTCACAGTCGCAAGCATCATTTATCGATTCACCAGCATCAACTTACAATTTCCGCACAATGATGGGCGTGGGTACGGTTCAATCACCCCCGAGCATTGCCGAAATGTTTCACAAATCATTTGGGAACTCTCAAAAACTTGATCCAGAGCGGACACCTCCTCCAACTACCACATCACAGTTAACTGTTGCAAATACGGCGCCAAATGTACAAACCACAAACTCCGCAGAATACAATCATGCAAGACAGGAATCGGAATCGCCAGTAGGACCAGCAAAGCGTTCACGTTATTCGCCATCAAGCGGTGCAGTTGCAGCTGGCCAAACACCAGATGAACTACTCAGCATAGCTTGCGATTATCTTTCAAGTACGTTTCCTGAAGAGGAATCCATCGCACGAACCTGGACGCATAAGCTTAAACGTTTACAACGAGAACAACGGTTATTGGCAGAAAAATTTATCAATGAAATACTATTTGAAGCAGAATCTGGTACATTGCATCGAGGCTCAGTACATATTAACAGTTTTGAACCATTTGTTCGTTTTGAAGAACATAATGGTAATAACCAAGAACCGACCAAATCACAAAGCCCAAGTGTACATACGTCTACCACAACAATATCGCACGATAGTGAAATCAAGTCAATTTCAAATTCTGGATCGACTGAAAATACCAACACTGCAAATTCGGTTAATGAGGGCAGTTACGAAAATTATCAGAACTAAATTTCATTGTAGCTTTAAGATAAAAATTAATATTATAAGCCAGAGATGCATTGCTTCTTTAACCAAGTAAATATTGGATTTTTAATTCGTTATCAAATTGTTTGGTCATGCTTAATTAAAGAATTTAAAATTGGCTGAGTACTATTACGGTGACCATATTTATGCGAGCCGAATACGGGACAAAAAATAATTTTGCTAATTTCTTCCATAAAAGCTATGTATGTATTAGCCCTGAACCAGCATCCTTATAGTAACATTACAAATTTGTCGGAAATCTTTCTGGAGATTTTTACTCCACAAAATTTTTTTACAAAAGTTTCTTTAAAGTTTAGTACGATAAAGTGCAAGTTTAAGTAGCTAGGACTTACCGTTAATTTTTGGGAATTTTTTTTGTCGACGGTGCTACGCATTTTTTTCATACAAAGTTATATGTTCGACAATTTGTTGATAGGGAAGCAAATGATCAGCATGTTGCACTTGTACTTTATACTTTATACTCAATTTTAATGAGCTACAAAACTGCAACCAAATTTTTTTTCTAAAGCTTCTGATTAAAAAGTTTGAAATTTTGGTGAAAATTTGCAGAATTAATTCTCATAGTTTTTGCCAAGTCGGGAATCTGGATTTATATGGTTTTTGTTAGGAAAAGAGCTTTACTTGAAAAAATAAATTAAATAAACAAAAGAAAAATAGCCGAACCTTGCTAAAATGTAGAATCCTAATTTATATTTTGATCGCTGTATGTGTTCCTCGATTTGAAGCACATGCATTCAGATTAGAAAATAATAACTGTTTATGGATCATACGATCGTATTCCAACATCATTTAAAACTGGTTTATAGACATGTAATTTTAATGAGATTTGAAGGCGTCGAAATACCGAACCCCGATTACGGGACAAATACAGGGCATTCAAAGAAATAGAGAACATTTGGGGTCCCGTATAAATTGCCAGAACTAATTGGTCAAAAAAGAGGACTGTACCGTATAATACAGGACGAATGGTCACCGTAAGTATTATACACATATGTATGTTTGTATGCACATAGTCTGTATAAATAACACAAATTATTGCTTTTAACTAATATTCATCTATTCTAATGACTAGTATGAAAATATGGCAGTTGCTCAACTTCAAAAACTAAATCAAAACTTTTAATTCATGGGTTGGTAATTTGCTACACTACGAGCACACCACACAAATGGTGAGGCGGCAGCAAATAATAAACTAGCTCCAATCATTGGCCGATGCAATATCCAAGCGATGGAAGCAATGATCAAGGCGATTGAAAGTGACAGAAATAGGTTGGCGCCAACGGGATAGAGTGGATCCGGCGCCAATGCGGCGAGAAAATTAATATGACTTACTGCAAGATAAAGAAATATAATTATCAATTAAATTCCTACTTATCTTTTTTTCAGTATACTCACGAATAATATGTAAAAGTGTAGATGTGCAAGTTACACCGAAGAAAACAAGTACCCAACCCATAAAGCGATAGCCCCATGTTGTTAGTCGTTGGGCATGATGCTCCAACTTAAATACTTCACCTAGACCGAGTTCACCGCTGTATACGAGCAGAACATCAACTCCTCTACTAGTGCGGTATGGTAATATTTTGTTATTCGCCAATTTCCCAACTACAGTATACTAAAAATATAAATCATAAATGTATACATACATATGTTTGTACATGGTTTCTTTAATCTACTCACTACTTCACCCTCCATTCCAGCAAAAGAAAATAATAAGCGTGTGTCGCCTATTTCCGGATTGAAAACATCGTTCGTGTGGTAGTAGAGTCCTAAATGCATTTTGATCGTAGGATCTTCTGGCCTTGTGTCTGATGTTAACTCCACATAGTTTGTAAATTTATTTTTTATTTCGCTACCCAACTCGTATTTTCCTATAAACGCTGCATCGGCGATTTGCGTTTGACTTTCCACGGGGAAACGATTGGGATTTTGGTGACCAGTTTGTATGTAAAAATTTCGGGAGTCAATTAATTTATCCCGCCATTCCGTATAGTAATAATACGAGCGACTTTCGGTTTGTACAGACGCAATACTCTCACCGTAGTTATGTTCACTGCAAAATTAAGAAAGACATTGCTTATTTTATTTACTCCATAAATCACTACTATGTACTCTGAAAATATAACTTACACTGTCTCTTCTACCCACTGGAACATTTGTACTCGTCGCTTCAACTTTACCGCTAAAACTTGAATATTATAGTCTGGTTCGGTAAGTGGCTCTCCAATCACTATGGCACCGGTTAAATGCACTATGCGCCCATTATAGTTGTAATCTAATTCGTCATTAGAATCCAGCGTTATTGCATCGTTCAAAGCTTCATCTAGTGACAAAGTTCTGTGCACCGCTCGGCCCTGTTAAAAGAGAAATTTGTATATTTTGTGTGCTTAGGTTTTCATGGCAGCGAACGCTTGAGCTGCTGTGGCGTCTACATACCTCGTTCCAGGAGAGGACAGAGAGTCCAGCAATTAGAAGTATGCATCCAAAAGTGGCTATCAGCCAGTTCGACCGATATGCCTCCACTAGCGACATTACTAATATGAAGTGATTAGTAATACATATAAATGCGAGCTCTTAACTCTTTGTTTTACAAAATTATTTTTTAAATTTTTGTGTAAAAATGTAGGCAGAGTAGGGATGATACAAGTAAATAACAACCCAACCAACATTTAAGTTTGAGCTCAACTTGAGGTTAGTTGAGAGCTAAGGTTTTGATATGCCTGAAAGTATTGATGCGCCTGAAAGATGCAGCGATTTCTATTCTCAAGTTAATACCTGATGACAGTACGAATTATAAATGACGAGGTTTTAGTTTTTTACACTATAATTTTTTTTGGTGTTTTTGGGATAGTCCAATTCCAACAATGTGAACAACATACAACTATCGATAGTGTTTAGAAAAATTCGATAGCGGCGACCAAATGAAACCATCGATACTATCGTTAGCCGCATCGATAGTTCTCCATCACTAGTAGTTCCATCTTTCATCCCTACTTATGTTAGCAGGAAGATTTTTGTTCGGGATTTACTTTAATTTGTCAAATAATTGCAAAGATGACGGAATTTCTTGCCGAAAATAATGCTTGCGGCCAAAGTTTATTGCACATTACATCTGTAGGCAATGCTATAATAGCGGAAATATTGCGACTAAAGGATTACATTCCAGAAATTTATCGGTAAGAATTTGGTCTAAAGAAGAACAAATTGAAATGTAAACAAAACTGGATTTATAGTTTAGAATCCAAGGTTGATCTTCACAAGTATTCCGACATAATTTTGGATTTTAGTTACTTGAAAGTCGCAGAGGCCCAAGAGAAAAAAATAGAAGACAGCCCGGTAAGCTTACAAAAAAAGTAATGATTATCGCTTAATCGTTATTTATTTTCTTTTAAGGAATTACAAGATTTGGACGATGAAGTACGCGAAAATTATTTGGAAATACTGACACGGTTTTATTTAGCATTTGAGAGTACGCACCAGTATGCTGTGGATCTTAATCAGTTCGTCGATGAACTGAACAGAGGCTACTATATACAACAGACCCTAGAATCTGTATTACAAGATGGAGAAGGAAAACAGCTATTGGTGAAATATTTCCAAACCATTTAATTTCATTAATAATATTACACTTTTTATTTTAGTGTGAAGCTTTGTATTTGTTTGGTACAATGCTATTGCTTCTTGATTATCACATTCCAGGCACAGTACGTGAGCGTCTTTTAATATCGTATTATCGCTATAGTGCTGCAAAGGCGCAAGGTGATAGTAATATAGATGACGTATGCATGCTGCTTCGATCAACAGGGTTCGTAGCAAACTGTGCCACAAACCACTCCAACTCTAAACAAACGTCCCCAACGCAATACCCAGTTGCTTATTTTTCTCGTTTTAAATTCGACCAAAACTTTATTGACATGGTAATAGGGCGATTGCGATGTGACGATCTTTATAATCAGTTGGCCATTTACCCTCATCCTGATCATCGCTCCACCGCCCTCTCTACACAAGCAGCTATGCTTTTTGTGTGTCTTTTCTTCACACCGCAAACTTTACACTTGCAAGTGGCGCAAATGCGTGAAATCGTCGACAAATTCTACGCTGACAATTGGGTTGTATCTATATACATGGGTGTTACGATTAACTTGATTGCTGCCTGGGATGAATTCAAAGCCGCAAAAGCAGCTCTATCACCAGTAGTGGACACAGGCTTGAAGGGCTTCTGTTTGCTACACAGGGAGAAAATGGTCAAAACATTAAAACAAACCCAAGAAATTTTACGGGTGGGTGTTTTGACTGATGATTTTGTCTTACAAAATATTGCAAAACTTCTTCCCTTGATGCGACAATGCAACGTTCTGTTGCGCTGGTATTTTACTCACACCTCCAAACCAGTTGTCCAATTATCTCAAAACTCACAAAAGACACAACAGGTTCAGCAACAGGTCTGCTCTGAACTTAATTATCAAAGCACACAACTGTTAGAACTTTTGCTTGACTGTAGCCAATTGGAGTTGGTCGTCAAAGATATATTGCGTAATTTATTAAGCGCAAAGAATGAACGCTGGTCCCAATTCAAGCGTGATGCTCTGGATCGTCTCAATGAGCTTGGTGAAGCATTCGGTGGCTCGCGGCCTTTATCAAAAATAGAGAATAACCCACAGTTAAAGCTTTGGTTCAGTGAAATTTCGAAAGAAGTTGAAAAGCTTGACGCAGAAAACACTAACGTCTCAGGGCGAACATTGATCCAATTGATACAGGCTCTGGAAGAGGTGGAGGAATTCCATAATCTCCAATCTAATATGCAAGTAAAGCAGTATTTGGTCGAAACACGGGAGTTCTTACACCGCATGATACAGGTATGCAGTTTTTTCGTAAAAATCTCTAATAAATATTTTGATATTCCTTCTAGGTCATTAACATCAAAGAGAATATCCTCATCAATATGCAACTTATAAGCGATTTGAGTTACGCCTGGCGCTTACTTGATAGGGACTTCACTACAATTATGCAAGAAAGTATTAAAAAACAACCAAAATCTGTAATACGCTTGCGTGCTGCATTCCTCAAGCTGGCCAGTGCTCTTGAAATACCACTACTGCGTATAAATCAAGCACACAGCGAGGATTTAGTGTCCGTTTCCAATTACTACAGCACAGAACTCGCAAATTACATGCGCAAGGTCTTGCAAATTATTCCTGAAACCATGTTTAGCCTTTTGTCGCGGATTATACATTTGCAAACTGAGGTGCTGCACGAAATACCCACTCGCCTGGAAAAGGATAAACTGAAGGAGTATGCCCAGTTCGATGACCGCTATGCCATCGCTAAGCTTACGCATTCGATTGCGATTTTCACGGAAGGTGTGTTGATGATGAAAAAGACTCTGGTTGGTGTAATTGAACTCGACCCCAAACAACTGCTGGAAGATGGCATCCGCAAAGAGCTTGTGCGACACCTCGCAAACGCGCTCAATCTCGGACTGATCTTTACGAAAACGAACAAATCGAAGCAACAACCCATGGCTGAGCTGGAAGGCAAACTATTAGCCTTATCAAAAGTTATGGATGGGTACAGGCGCTCCTTTGAATATATTCAAGATTATTTGAAGATTCATGGTTTGAAGATCTTGCAAGAAGAAATCACACGAATTATTAACTACAATGTGGAAAAGGAATGCAATGCGTTTTTACGAAATAAAATACAGGATTGGCAGTCGCGCTATCAGAGCCAGACTATACCCATACCAAGCTTTCCCCCCTTACAGGGTGACGCTTCGAAATCAAATAATTTCATTGGTCGCTTGGCAAACGAAATACTCCAATGTACGGATCCCAAGCAAACAATATTTCTAGAACTGAAAGCAACCTGGTATGAGAAACGTGCACCACACAAGGAAGTACTAAATGCATGCTTCTTTGGCAAAGTACGTGAAGCGATCGGACCTGCAGGATTGGTGGGCTTGGATAGACTGTACTCTTATATGTTTGCGGCTGATCTAAAGCAGAATCTGGAGAAGATGCAAAAGAACCTATCAAGTGATAATATGTGGGTGGAAGCGCTTAAAAGCCTGAGTACGGAATTGGAATCAAAACATTTCCCGGGTACGAATGCGGCAAACCCATCAAAATTCTATTTCAACTACTATAATCGCTGGATAAAAGTGTGGCCGACGTTGTTGGAATGGTTGCTCAATTTGGGTCATAAGCAGACATTGCGACAACAATTGGCATTCGAATTGAACAGGAGCAGCAAATGCAATTCGAAAAATTTAGAATCGGCTCTGGAAACATTCAACAGGTAAAAGAGGGTATCGGGGAAAAATTCATAAGTACATATTTAAATTTCTAATGTTGCAGGGCATTGTTGAATGAATTGGAACAACCAGCTGTTTATACAAAGTTCATCGATTCGGAGGGTGGCAGCCAATTGCTCATTGAGTTCAACGAGTACTTAGCATTCACGGGTTCCTACGAACCGCTTGAGCAAGTTTTTCTTTCTACCAAAAGTACTCATCACGTAGCACTGTTTTTATTTTTGTTTACAATAGCACATCTGCCACGACTTCAATTTACCCTGAACACGAATAGCTTGCTAGCCAAAAACGCCAAAGACAATATAGACGGCACTCCTCTGTTGGTCGGATTATTGACTGTTTTGCAGCAGTTCCACAAGGAGGTGAAGTTTTTGTATTTGACCTATCTTTGCCAATATGCCACTGTGATAGTGGAGTCGAATATCAGGTAAATGAGCTGTCAATATTTAACTTCATCTCATGAAAATTAAAGTGACACTCTTTCTAGCACGAAAAGCGAAATCAGCATGGAAGGAACAACAGCGTTGCATTTCCTCGAAACATTTCTTAGGTTAGCCAAGCTACCGCGATCTGTTTTGTCCGAACGATGTCCCACCATTATACTAAATCAATTTGATTATTTAGCTTTAAGCAACAAAACTTGAGTATTATTTGTAATTGTTTAAACCTGTCGTTGTTTATAGCAAACGCAAACTTGTTTATTCTTGTTTATTAAGTATTAAATTAAAAAAGGGTCAAATTATAGTACTGGCATTGCTGACGATTTACGACTGATAACTTTAACCATTGTAATACGTTCTATGCTTGAAATTTGTTAGGCGGTATAGCCGAAATTAGGCACATGCTGCTTTTTTAAATGTTTCCTTATGTAATGACTGTGGGTGCATTGCGTCCGGTAAACTTTGGTAGTTGGGAAATCTCCAAGGCGATGTCTATAAGTGGTTTCAACATGTCGCTAGCTTGGCCGAGTACATTATCTTTCTCGTACGAGTCAATATACAAACTAAAATTAAATATTTATAAACGTATTACCGATATTCAAACTAGAAACTAAATTAAAAAAAAAAAATAAAAAATATTTTACTCACCGAACAGTAGCGCCTGAACTACCCGTACCACTGAGACGAATAACAATACGACTACCGTCCTCGAAGACAATACGCAAGCCTTGCTTTGTAGCAACGGAATTATCCACGGGATCAGTATAGCTGAAATTATCAGCAATCTTTACTTGATATGTTTTTCCGCCGCTCGTAAAGCTCTTTCCCACAAATGAAGGATCCGTAATATTCCTCTCCATGGTTGCAATCATTTCATTACAAGGATCCAATTCACATTCCTCGTAGTCGTAGCGTGTGAAGTAGTTACGCCCATAGGTAGCCCAATGATCTTTAAGAATATCTTCAATACCTTTGCCGGTGTTTTGCATAACGGAAAGCCAGGCTAAAACCGCCCAAATGCCATCTTTTTCGCGTATGTGGTTGGAACCGGTGCCGAAACTCTCCTCGCCACATAAGCATAGGCGTCCGGCATCCATTAGGTTGCCGAAATACTTCCAACCGGTGGGGACTTCAAATACCTCTTTACCCAGCTTCTTTCCAACCAAATCAACAGCAGATGCTGTAGGCATGCTTCTAGCAAAGCCTTGTATGCCATTTTTCCTAAAGTAAGGAATACATTCCAAGTTGTTTGCGATAACTGCCAATGAGTCACTGGGAGTGACAAAAAAAGCCCGATGACCTATTATCATATTGCGGTCCTTTAAAAGCCCCAAGTAACAAAGATCGAAAGAAAATATGTAGTTATATTTTGCATAACACTGTACTTTAAAATTAACTTACTCCATCGCCGTCGAATGCAGCGCCGATATCGTAGTCTCCTTGAGCAACGGCCTGCACCAAGTCTTTGGCGTACGTTAGATTTGGGTCCGGATGCAAGCCACCAAAATCGGGTAGAGGTGTTGTATGAACTACACAGCTCTCTGCTGCACCCAAAGCGTTCAGAAAAATTTCACGTACATAAGAGCCGGTTACACCGTTCAACGAATCTATGCGCATTTTGAGTGGGTTGCCAGTTGCCTTGCCGCTAACAAACTCGCGTAGTTTCTCAAAATCGAATATTTCCTTCATGTGGGTGACATAATTCGCGACTGAGTCGATGACCTCAACAACGAAAGTCTTACCGTTGATATCATATTTGTTAATACCTATTTTACTAATGTCGATGTCTAAGCCATTGACAATTTTGTATTCCTTAATGGCAGTAGAAAGTTGGTAGATATTGTTTGTTACAGCATCCGGTGCAGGTCCTCCATTTTCGCAATTGAATTTAATGCCGAAATCGTTGTCGGGACCGCCGGGATTGTGGGATGCAGTCAGCACAATTCCACCTGAAAAGATTCCATGAAAATTGTTCAAACTGTACGTATCGTCACTATCAATGCATAAGGCCGTATGGGCAAATTTTGAAATTTTACGGAAGAAGCAAAAAACTTTTTCAAGTAAAATAGAAAGCGCTGTTCTAACGATGTCAAGAAAACGCGTATTTTCTAAAATATGGGGTAGTAAATTTTTTTAGGGGCTCAACGCAAGGAAACTTAATGAAATGTAACAAGACTTAAATTAACTGCCTAGTTTCATAAGTACTAAAAATAAAGAAACAAATTTAATAGGCTTTCAATTGAAACTGTATTGCATACATGTGCATATAAATATAAGTATGTGAGAAATGATGTCTTATCAAGAGTCCATTGACATTCAGAGGTGCCCCCTTAAGTAAGCTCAAAATGCTGATAAGAAATAATGCAAATATAAAAATTTTAAATAGCGTGTAAACAAACCATTTTTATGGTGCACTATGTGTAAACAAATCTAACATCGTATGCAAAAACTTAAATGCGAAAGTGGTTATTCACTGGCTTTCCATTTTGAATGTATTTATCTAGCGCTTTAATTTTATTGTATTTTATTTTATTTATGAATATGACTGATTTTGCTGAAGAAGAGGTTAAAAAAATTCCCACCCAGCTTGGTAGGATTGTTCAAAACACCAATTTTCAGCTGGGTGGGAATTTTTGTAACTTCACTCCTATTTTTGGTCTAATTTGACCGGACTACAAGCTAATATAATAAAAATTTACTTTTTGAGTTACGTGTGCCTTCAAATTGCGGTATATTTTAAAAGGAGATTTACTCATACATATACACATATGTATATTCATACAATACACATAATTTCTTACCCAGTGCCTTATTATGACGAATCAAACTTGAAACTGCTGGAGTGGATAGTATACCATTTTGGCCAACCAATAATTTTGCAACCTAATAATGATAAAGCATATTTATAAGTTCAGTTTATCAGTTTATCAGTAGTATGTACTATATATACTATACATACATATCTGTGGCGCCAGTTATACAAATTTTCTTTGATATTTTGTAGTTTTGTTCACTAAAAAACTTATTTAAACTAAATGTGTACATACTTATGAAACATTTATGTACAATTATATTTTAACAACCCTTTCTTACAGAGGACCGATAATAGGTACCCAAAAAATTACAATACATTTTACAAAAACTACAAAGTTTTAAATGGAGTTACTCTTGTTACTTCTGACAGCAGAGATATTTATGTGGACAAGTGTTTTATTGCCCAAATACTCACCCCATTCGCAGCGCACATACGGATAATAAGCTCCGCTGCTTCCTTACAATAGTAGCGACCATCACCGCCCACCACAATTAGCGATCCTTGCAATGCTGTACCATTAGCGTCCAAAATACACTGGACAAAGTTTTCAGTATAATTTTGTTGCGTGAAAACTTTTACCTTTTAAGAAGACTAGTTTAGTTTATTCCAACTCACACTAAATCGTTAAGTCGAATGTTGCAAACTAATTTATACAGATACCTTTTTGCGTAATCCACTAGTGCCGGGTTTTTGCCCATCATATGGCTTTGTAGCAACAACAGAAATACTCGACATATTTACAAAATTATTTTTCCCCAAATCTTTACAAAGCCGAACTAAGATTAGACAACGATTTAACGTCCGAAACGCTTGAATACTAAAAACTGACTACGTACACCAGGCCAAGCACTTTACTGATAATACGCATGAAAGGTCATTCAAGGTCGTAGTAAGTCAACTTGTGCTACCACACAAGTGTATGTAAACAAAGAATTCTCTGGGATTTACACAATATTTGGACAATAAGCACTTACCTCGATTTCAAGCCCATCTTCTTAGCTTGGCTACGCACGTTTAGCTTCTAATTCGAAGTTAATTAAATGCATAAAAGGTATATCAACAAAATAACAAAAAACCAGCTGCAAGTTGATGATGCATTGTAAACAAACCATTGTGAACATTCGATAAATTGATAACTATCGATAAGTATAAAAACAGGTAAATCTCATAAGGCGGACTGCACATTTTAAATTAAAATCTGTTTGCATTGTTCAACCAGTTCAACTTTGCGATCAACAATTGCGTTCAACACAGCGCAGGGTCAAAACTCAAAATTTTTGGCGACAATTAGTTCACAAAGAAAATGCGCCTTCTCATTCATAAACGTTCTCTGGCGTGAGCACAGAGCGGCACCAAATTAACAGAATTTGAATAAATTAGCAATAAACAAGGCGAATTCATTTTGTTACAAACACATAATTTTGAAATTAGGAAGGTCCGCGGCGAAAATTGGAATTCGTCATCAACACCACCTTGTATAAATTTGCCTTGCTTATTCTAGCAAGATGTCAAAACGGACGCGAATTCCTCTGGCAAACCTTCTAGACTCACTCGCCATACTTCAGCGAGTCGTCTCTTCTTATAGATTTACGTTCTTTGGTTTCATGAAGATTAACCCTTAAATTTGAACTTCGTCTTGATATAAATTTTTCCTTTCAAGTCGTGAGGCAACTTGAGAGTCAAGTCAAACAGCTGCGTGTGATCAACTTGAAAGCAACTTTTTCCTCGTCTAACACATCACAGTTAGATGGCGCCACAACTTGTGAATACGAATTGTGACATTTGAAAAACACGAAGCTTACACGTCACATAGTTCCGTCAAAATTTCACTACAATTTTATCAAGTTGTATTGATGGGACATTGTTCGTGTAGTGCAGAAATTTAACAACATATTTAAGATATTTTAGCTGAGATTATTATCTAGAGTTACTCAAGTAAGTACAATTAATAATGTATGAACCACAACTGGCTAAAATATTTAAATAACATTGCCGATGGCATATAGTTTTGCTTTGCCGGGTGCTTTAGTTTCCACGTCGACAATGTGAAATTTTGCAAATTTATTCTCTGTACCAATGAACTTGAAATTAACATTTCTGGCACTCCTTACAGGATGTTCAAAACACTATTTACGACCTGCCTCCTATTAGCCATTTCAAATGTTTGCCTCTCGGATGAAGAGACCAGCGCACGTTTGCTTGTTTCGAAACAAATCCTCAACAAATATCTGGTTGAACAGAGTGATTTGCTGGTGCGATATACAATTTACAATGTAGGAAACGGCGCCGCCACCAATGTAAAATTAGTAGACAATGGATTCCCTTCTGAAGCGTTCGATGTAGTCGGAGGTCAACCCACAGCCACTGTGGAGCGTATTGCTCCACAAGCCAACTACACACATGTTTTAGTGGTGCGTCCAAAATCGTACGGATATTTCAATTTTACTGCCGCCGAGATTTCCTATAAGCCTGTTGAAGAGGTCGAAAAGGTAAATAATTACTTAAATGTAAATCGATATAAGTATTAATGAATTTGGTTTATAGTTGCAACTGGCTGTAAGCTCAGAGCCTGGTGAAGGTGGCATCATCAATCTTGGTGAATTCAACAAGCGGTTCTCATCACACTTCTTTGATTGGGTTGCTTTCGCTATAATGACGTTGCCCTCATTAGCAATCCCGTTGGCCCTTTGGCACTCGTCAAAGAGCAAATATGAACGGTACGGCAAGAACAAGAAGCATTAAATATCAGCCTTAAAGCCGAATTGGCAGGCTACTTTTCGAAACATATAACTCGCAAACGATTCATTTTTAATATCGCCTATTTTCTTAAATTATACTCGGCATTTGCAATGTTTTTCACTATGCGGGACACGGTACATTTTTTATTCTTGCTTAAAAACATCCAACTTTCATCGAAAAAGCTAAGCGGTACTAAATTTAAACCGCAGCCTAAACATAAAATCGTTTTAGATTTATTTGAAAAGAAAAAAAACGAAGGTCTAAGAATGGTGATGCAGGGGACCACTAAGTGACCAATGTTTTCTAATAAAGAAATAAACTATAGGCATAAGTCAATTTATTTAAACAAGGTATAAAATACATAACTGCTAGGTATTTACAGTTCCCAAAAAGCAATCATTTCTTTTGCATTAATACAACAAATCAGCTATGGTTAAAATCAGTCGATCAAAATGGACATTGCATATCCGCCCAATGAAAATATTTAAGATTTTGGTAGATAAATGAGCTCAGATCGGCTGGCTTCTGGGAGCTTGTGCATTAGGGCGTTATCAAATGCTAAATGTGTATTTCAAGACTTATCTTATGATAAGGTAATAATGGTTAGGAAGCCAGCTATCCTTAAGATGTGATTTCTAATTGAAAACACATTAGCAGTTGCACTTATCCTTTAAATCGCTAATAAAAATCGGTAATTTTGGAAATGTTTGAACTTAGAAACCTATTCTGGTTTTTCGCCCGCGTCAGGTTTTCTCTTCCCCCCAGTCGAATTTCCATCACAACGTCGTTTTTTGGCAGCTGACGGTCCTTCCGATGGGTCAATACTAACATCTACTCCGTCATCATTCACTTCTGTAGAAGGTACCGCACCAACAACAGGTGCTGCATTAGTTGATTCCCCTGTAGCTGGATTAATTTGTTTAATATTTGCAGATATTTCCCTGTTCTTTGCGTCCAAGTCCTCTAAACGTTTTTTAAGTTCAGTGATCTGAGTGCTCATCGTAGCAATAGTGTTCATAGTCTGTTGTAAGCGGCGCGATTGTTGCACCTGTATATGCTGCATTCGGTTCATCTGAAATTTATATTCGATTATAATAATAGGCAAAAAAACATCGTATTTATACCCTTTGGATTCCGTTTTTGTACTCCAACTCAAGCTTCTTATACTTGGCCATGGTAGCTCTTGCTTCTGGGCATCCACTGCGATTTTGTTGGCCTTCGTTTCTAGGGCTCGTGCCAGCTGTTTTACTACCGCAGCACCCTATTGCGGTGTACAAAGAGTCCCAATCTGTGGAATCAGAACTGTCTGAATGTGGCGACTTCATGTTAATCAGTGCAGCCATACGGTTAAGTATAGCTTCACAAGCGGAGTCGTTGCATGTATTGCAAGTCATCTTCATTGGAGCTGCTCGTGTTGGTGGTGTCCACATTTTGGACGTGCTGTTTGATTGTGGCCACATACTGGAGCTACCAGTCTGAACACTGAAGATTATGTTACCTAAACCAGAACTTGCCGGTGTTATACGTTTGTTTTCAATACCGCCAGCATTAGACCTGTTTCCAACAGAATCTACATACGATTTTAAAAGATTGGCGATTTTTTCATCAAAATGTTCTATAGCCATGGACGATATATCCCGTAACTCCTGGAGAACTTCATGTGGCCGAAGGGTTTTACGCGTTTTTGACACCAATGAGAGAATTCGAAAAATTTCATCCAACACCCGACCGGGAATGAAGCAGCACAAATTCAGGTCTATGTACTTGCAATATGTCATTGAAAGCATGGAAATTCGCGTCTCTATGGATGTTAGGATATCAGCATGACGCGCAAGACTATGATTCCTGTAAAAAAATATATTAGTCTCTATTGACGTCATAGTTTTTTAGGTTCTAGCTACACACCGTCGTTCGGATTCCCTACGCGGGAGCATTGATTTGATGCGTTTAAAGATAGTTGTGTGCTGACGAACAGCGCGACTGAAACCTCCGTTTAGCACTTGTTGACAAATTTGGTTTATTCTTCTGCAAACCTAGAATTTAAATTGACAAACATTATGCCGTTAGATGTGTAACTAACGCGTGGTTTTCCACTTTTTTCTTTGCATAGCTGGATACTTACCAAGCGGTTTTTAGATACCTCTTCATAGGTAAGAAACTCGAAGATGTCCAGGAGCATACAGTCTGGTAGTTCTAGTAAATTCATATTGATATTCCCTATTTGCTATAAATGATTGCAAAACAATAAATCCACTATCCCTACCACTCTGGCAATTCACGTCTAGAATGTTTTCTGCGAAATCAAAACGGCCAAACGCAAAATGACGAAATGGCATAGAAAATAAAGAAGAGATCAAAACAAAGGAAGACTCCAATAGTGTTGCCACTCCGGCATGTATTTTTCCCACCAAAATACTTCAAAACATGCCGCAAGTGAAGTGTTGTTTCTACATCCTCTGAATTAAAAGGCGTTCTCTCAATTCTTTCCAAAAACGAGTTTTTTTTTTTAATTTTTGCTCCTCTCTAATCCATTATGTTATCCGACTTTTATCGGATATGATAGTGCAGTGTAGTAATTTACCATGAACCAACGACTACAGATCACCTAATCAGCCATCGTTGTATTTGTGTTCGATTTTCAGAAAAAAGTTTGCGTCGCGTTTTTGACGTTTTTCGGTTTTGTTTACACCGTCTTCTACCTCTTCGTAGTGATATTTCAGCGATTGAATGTGTTTTCTGCAGCGATTTTAATTATAAATTTTGGTTTATTACATATTTATGATATAAAATGAAGTGCTGCGTGATTGGAACAAGTTTGTGCGTATGTTTGGTTTGCCAAAAGGCGTTAATTTGCATGAAAAGTGGGTGCACGTTTGTGGCCAGAACGTTGGCATTGAAAAATCGACCCGTAGTAATGATATGCGATTGTAAAACACTTTCAATCATGAAAACCATATTTTATGAACTTTTTTTGCTAATTGTCATCAAGTTTCCCTTTGTATATTTTATAATAAATACTAATTTAATCGCACCCAATCACCGCGCCTTTTTCGTTTTCTTTGTTTTCATTCTTAGGCAGATGTCAAAAACGCTCAGAAATATACTTTTTTCTTGCTTCTTTGATTAGGTGATCTTGGATTTTTGGTTTATGTGGCCTACACGTGCGGGATCTCATATGCGTCGTCACGCCGGCAACATTATGACAGCCAAAAGTGACATCCAAGTCAAATTTATACAAGGTGGTGTTGATGGCTAATTTAGATTTTCGCCGCGGTACTTCCTAATATCAAAATGATGTGTTTGTTGTAAAATGAATTCGCCTTGTTTACAACAAACACATCATTTTGGCAAGTACCGCGGCGAAAATCTAAATTCGCCATCAACATCACCTTGTATAAATTCGCCTTGCCTCCTTTGTACAAATTCGCCTTGGTGACATCTGAGCAAAAAGTGACGTTTTGACGTTTACCTGTGTCCGCTGTCCACATTTAATTTTTGTAGAATTTATTTATGCAGAAAACATTTAAGTTCTCTTCTTAAAATGGTGTTTGCGAAAAACTGGGAAGATTTTGAAATTGCCGCCGAGTCCATGTACATGGCTAATCCGCAGAACTGCCGATACACAATGAAATACGTCCATGCGAAAGGACACATCCTCCTGAAAATGACTGACAACGTCAAAGTTTGTACATATATATAGTGCCTGTTCCAGGTACCTCAGGATTTTTAGGAAAAGCTGTTTTCGTCTTTAATAAACCTTATGGAAGGTGACGTAAGGGAACAGTTTCTTGTAAAAACCTGCAAATCGTGAAGTACCTAGAACACGGCAAATATGTATGTAGTATATCCAATATATGTAATTTCCCATTTTACTTGCAGTGCATTCAATATAAAGCAGAAAACATGCCCGATTTGAAGAAAATCGAAAAGTTAACTGGCAATTTAATGGGACATATGGCATCCAAGGAGTAACAAACTCAGTTACATTTTTCACTGGGGATCAAGTGGGCACAGAGTATTTTAAGTTTAAATAGCATTGCTTCAGGGCCAGTTTTTCAGTGTCAGCTTAAGCTTAGATCATGTAAGCTGCGTTTTTTAATGAGCTGGCTGATATTTGATTGGCTAATTAGTTTAAACTAGCACAACCGTGCACTGAAAAACTGACCCTTAATGTTAGCTTTGTAACCACTTTACGAGTGGAGTTTTAGAGGTCGAGAACATCTTATGTATATACATATATCGAAAACTTCCGATTCGAAAACATTTCCATGAAATGCTTTTAATTTATTGTTAATCGTGGATATGATGTAATAAAATCGTTCTTTTTGTATTAAAGCATAAAATGCAACTAATGATCAGGACTATGCAGGTTCGTTTCGATTTCTATGATCGGACTGTTTTGAAACTATTGCTAAAAAACTCTGCCTTTAATAGTTGCGTTCCAGATGCTTCACGATTTGCAGGTTTTTACAGGAAGCCGTTCCAGGTGACCACCTTCCATAAGGTTTATTAATGGAGAAAACAGCATTTCCTGCAAATCCTGTAAAACCTGCGATTGGTGAAGCATCTGGAAAGCAATTTTTAGAATCTAAAATCACATAAATATGGTTTAATACAAAGCCAAAGCTCTGATTTTAAGTTCGACTAATAAAATACAGTGAAATAGTTGTTGCCAATTTTTTTATATCTACAGCTGCTCTGAATTACTTTAACCTTATCGTACCCACAACAGTTGGTTCTACGTAACCGGAACAACCCACATTCATATCTGGCCAAGGACAGTGATTTCAGCATCATTCATCAAAAACTGTTTAGGGAATTTTAATGCGTTACAACAACTATTTTAATTTTATAATTTAACTTAGCTTTTTTACTCATTAACCTTTGTGTCAATACGTCATAGTCGGGTATGTTTCGTAGTTTGTTTTGTGGTTTTCAAAAGCACATATGTACATTTTTCCTATTACTTTCAAGAACTCAACCTCCAGATATCTGAATGCATACTAAATAACTATAAAATAACAAAAAACTTTATTTCTTGCTATTTTAAGGGCGTGGTAAGTGATTTTGGTTTGGCTTTCCTTTATGGCCGTTCGTTAAAGGGGCGGTGGGCGTGGCACTTCTAACCCACCTTTTTGGAGAGGGAATGAACCGCTATTGACAAAAATTCAACCCCTGACCCCCTATGGTTACCCACGGACCCCTTTAACGAACGGCCATAATGGAAACTTTCCCCGTAATTTTTAAATTGCCAATCTATACACAACACGTACATACATACCCGGGTATATACATGGTTGGTTGGTTGGTTGTAGTGCTTCAGAGTAACTTACTATGATACAATTAGCGCGTTTTGCGGCAATAACACCATCTTGATTCCCTGATGAATTTGTCGATATCATCTATAGTAGATCTTGATATATCTGCTAATTTTGTTTGTTCTTTATGTCAGGGACCCGAACTTGTATAACTTTTATAATAAAAGGCGTTAGAAAAGTTATTTTTGAACTAGCAAATACCTGGCTTGCTTCGCGACGCCTAATAAGAACTTTTACGTTGACCAATACAAAAATAGTGTTGCTATGCAAAACGGTTTGTAATGTAAAAATTATTAGTTTAGGTTGAAAGGACTGAAGAGCATAACCTTGCTTACTCATAGGCCAGAATAATAGCGCTGAGATAACATTAATACTAGGTTCACATATAAGTAGATTATCCTCATTTTCGAGCTTAACACCCTAATCTGTAATTATAACAAGAGATTAGCCATATAAAATTCGTCCCTTGTTAATCTGTAATTATAAAATAATCTCAGATTTAACCGATAACTTTTCGGTGTCCATCCTAGTTTTATCGATTGTTTTTGCGAAAGAGAAGAGAAACGCCAAATGTAAAAGTAAACAAAAATGTACGCTAGCAAGTAAAAGAGGTTTGTAAAGGCATTTTTAATAAAATGTTAAGTTAAAATATATTTATATTGCTTATTATAGCAGAAAAACGTGATCACGGTGCCACAGAGAAGAAACATAACTTTTCCTTGAGATGTGAGAATAACAAGCACAACAAATTTGACGGCTAATAATCTGAGATTTGCCTGTGTAAACGGGGTGATTAAAAAACGAGCTTTGTTTGAGATAATATTGATATGTGAACATAGTTTTAGGTTAATTACTAATCTCATTCGATGCTATGAGTACTTTTTTCCTCCTGAGATATCTGCAAGTATTGCAAGGTTTTTCGCAGCACATCTGCATCTAATCTGCTCAAGTATGAGTTCAACCTCAGCCTCACCATTCTGATTACGCAGTTACGAACCGAATCACGTAATGCGCCAAACAAAATCTTGAGAGCGAATCACTTCATTCGTAGGTGATTCAGATCCAATCCCCATGCGAATCAAGAACAAATCGTTGTCTTCTCTAATTTTTATCGATAACAGCTGTCAAAACACATAGACCACACACATACCCACTAGCACAAACATTGAAAAAATAGCTAGACAACATAGCAACATGTTTTAAAGCGTTTAAATGAATAATTTTACCTAAATTGTGTGTTTAAAGTATGTGACAATAATATTAGTTAATTTTGGTTTCCGTTGTTTTCTCTGCTTTGTTAACTTTTCTTTCGTTCTCCAGTAAAACAAGAGGCGTAGAACCTGCTCAAAAAATCGACTTTTTTCACACTCTCTTGTTCTTGCGTGATCTTGTGTCGTTGGTTCAAGGCCTGGTTGGATATGAATACGCCTTGGTCTTGCCCGTGCTTAATGAAAATGCAATACTGGTTTCTCCAGCTGTCAAACAAGGAGAAATGTCAGAGAATGTCAAACGCAAAAATGGTAATTGGAAAATTTTCACGGTGGCCAATTGTTTTATCAGACGGGATCAGCACCATATAGAAATCGGAATCACGGTGCAAAAATGAAAATTGTTCCAAATATGTATAAATATTTCAATAAGTGAATTCGAGAGCAAAAAAATGTGATAAGCGCAGTTCATAGTGATAGCAATATTGTAATAAATCTAGTCAAATGGAAAGACAATTGGGGGTGAAGGAGGGCGTTTTTTCGCTACTCAAATTCATTCATCATTAGGAAAACGAAAATCGCAAAAAACAAACACGTAAATATATTAAGTGCAAAGAATAATGATAAAATATAACTATCCTTTTGTAATAATAGCACTATAAAGGTGTTAAGTTGAACTACTGTGAAGTTTGAAAAATCGACGTTGTGTGGTGTGGCCGAAGGCTATGTAGTTGTGGGAAAGGGCGACGTCATAACAGTAGTAGACCAAAGTTTGGAATAGCCTTTTTCGTCACGTTTCTTGGCCCACACATTTTTACTACCACGATTTTATATGTTTGGGCACGTCATCGTATAGCCAGTATGTAGTTTACCTTCGATTAAATCAAGTATGCAAAAGCAAGAAGACAGTACTGCAAGAATTTAAAAAATAATAATTAAATTAAACGACAAATAATCGACAGTCACAATGGACGACGACACAATGCTCAACAACCATGGTCCTCAGCCTGGAGCTGAGACTGTTTATGGCACCGAGGACAACAATATGGTCATGTCAGAGAAGGTGCGTAATGATAATGCTAACTATTATTTAAAACAAAATATATACCTTTCTATCATCAATGCCACGTTGCGGAAAGTTCTGCAATGATAGATATAACCACTGCTCGTTAATTTGTATGCACGTACATATGTATATACATAAAGATAAATATATATGTACATATCTACACATCAAAACCATAGCATGCTAAGTCAGCTTAGACTTAGTCAGACTTAGCCTATTATGGTTTGGAGTCGTCGATATATACTTTGCAAATACACAGTACATATCCCTATATACCACGATGTAGCAAATGTATTCTATAATTCTTGCCTATACACATGCATATGTATGCATTCAAATACTTATGTACATACATATGTATATGATAAAACATAGTACATATGTACCAGAGATGTTGCGAATATTTGGTGGCGTTCCATAACTCACAAGAAGTTGCAAGAATTTACTGGAATTTACCAGAAAGCGTTCGGGTCTCTGGCTTCCTTTACCTTTTGATAGTTTTACAGGTTTTAACCCAGAAAAGTTGGAGAACGCAACTATAATATATGTATATGTATACGGTGGAAAATTCAAAATTTTAAATGCACTTATTTCCCAACATAACCGATTTTTACGAAATTAGTATAATTTTAACGTCATAATCGAGTAATTTGTTTATTAAATATAAAACAATATTTTAATTAACAACTTCCCCTCAGTAGTACCCATAATAGTCTGTATAATTGTATACAAATATGGTAAATATTATAGTTTATATCCTCTAAAGTTATTTCTTTTGTAAAATCCATAGCTGTGCATATGATAAAGATTATCCAATGTTCCCCTAGTTTAACAAATAAAATTACGAAAATCCTGTTATAAATAATAAATGGCCGATCTTACATCGCATTTTTTTTAATGTCATAAATTTTTCGCCATTTCAATGCCTAGTGGAAATTCGGCATAATTCAGTTTTATTCAAAAATACAAAGCTTACATAAAATGGCTCAATACTTGGCCTTTATGCTCAAATTTATTATGTTCAAACAAGTCTAAATATATGTCTTACCGTCCTCTGAGTAATTATTTCACTGTGAAGCTAATATTTTCTCTCTTAAAGTAGGTAAAGACTTTCACACGTGCACTGTAAAAAAATATAGCCTTAATCTTTACAGGTAGCTGTAATCCCGAGACCACTTGTCACAAACGTGTGTCAGACCTTCCTATAAACCATACTGTATCCAACAACCCGCTATCGCAGACGGCGGTGAATGGAGGTATAATTTAATTAAGTTGACTGGCGTCACACATTTGTGTCGGCGGTCCCACGTGAATACCCAGCTGACACATATATGTGACGCCTGGTAGCGAACGTGTTAAAGAAAAACGAGATCATCTCGGTGAAAATCTTCTCGATTGGTGGAAAACTAAACTAAAATACGACAGATCTGGCCCGCAAATAATTAAGCGCTCCACCCTACAGCGTTCCAACTGAGCAATTGCCGTTCTGGGCACACAACCACCAGACGTGGACGAGACAGAACTTCGTCTGCCTCGGCAGACTCGGACCACAATAGCCCAACTGCGCTCTGGTTACTGCAGCAGGCTGAACTCATACCTAAGCAGACTAAGCAAAGATATCCCAAATGAATGCGCGCCCCATGACTCACAGCATCTCTTCGTATGCCCTCTAAATCCCACCACGCTAACGCCCCTGTCCTTTTGGACAGACACCGTCGAGGCTGCACGCTTCGTAGGACTGGCGTTAGTAGAGCTTGACGACAACGATTGAGGGACCGATCTGGGCGGGGTTGTTGTAGCCGCTACAACAATAACAACAAGCAATTTCTTAGTGCTGCCAGCCTTATATACGAGCCTCTAAGAAAATACCTCATGGGAGAAAAGGCAGCAAAATTATTATTTTTTTTAAATATAATATGCCCCTTTTGAACTTTGACTACTAGATTTACGGCTCTATTCTGTATCAGTGACAAATTATTGTCACAGCTTTTCTTACGGAAAAATATATGAAAAAGTTTAAATTTGTCAGTAAAATATTTTTGTCACCGATACAGATTGGGCTACAAAACACTGTATAGGTTAAGCACTCGTTCAATGTTTTAATAATTTACAAAATTTTTAAGTAATAAAAACGATGACTTAAGTTGATTATAGCTTTTTTGATGTTATCCTTAACATTCGCATTCGCATTCACAGATTCGCATTCCGAAAATTCGCATCCGCGAATGTGAATAATATGACATTCGAAACATCCCTAGTATGTACATAAATTAGGGTGGTCCAAAATAAGTAAAGTCGGAATTTTAACGCTCTCAAAATAATTGGGTTTTATTATTGGGCATCTGTTGAAGAGAAACAGAGTCTTCCGATCGAAAAATATTGATTTTCAAGAATTCCATACCATTTCCACGAAAAGTTATTTTTTCGCCATACAAAATACATGGAAAACTTTCAGCGCTTTGAGCGACCTCTAAATATTTTTTGATTTCAAAATAAAAAATAGGGGTATACTTTTTTCGATATAGAACTGAGAGCATAAAAATTCCGACTTTACTATTTTGCATGCATTTTTGGAACACCCTAATATACATACTTGTGTATGTATATGCATATATTACTTATCACCTGCCTCTCTTGTCTTAATTATGCTTGTGACGCACGATCCAGAAAATAAAGGTCGCGCCATTCGCGGACCGCTAACCCTCTCTTCGTCGATTTGACAGCATCCACCTAATCGCTGACGTCATAAAATACTTTTGTTTACATTCACTGTTGCCAACTTAATGCTTTTCGCACCAAATTTAGTGGGTATTCAAAACGCGAAAATTTTTGAGTTTGGCGCTTGACGCGTTTTTGGTGCTTTTGTTTTTAGTTTCAAGACACCAAATTAGAAAATCTTAAAAAATGGAAGCAAAATTTATAGCAATCGTAAGTGTGGTAAGCAACTTTACAACAATTTAAACAAAATCATGGCCACGTGACAATCATAAGCGACAACAAAATATGTGGCAGCACCTTCAATCATGCCAGTAGAAATCAATCGTCGTGCAAGAAACATTGATTTTTATTAATTTGAATCGGCATCCTTACAATAAAATTATGTATGCATATAAAGTCTATAAAATACACCAATAAAAATTTGGTGCTTTTTCAAATTCAAAACTTGGCAATACTGCCTTTTGGCCGATGCTTCCTCTTTTTCTTGTCGAGTTCGTCTTGCTCTCTCATTCTGGTATTTATTGACGTCACGACCAGCTGCTCTCAGCTCGATTGGCGCAATCTTGTATTCTATCATTCTTGCTTGTGACGTACATGACGTTAACAGGTCTATTCTGCGCTGGCAACATAAATTTTGTAACCGGTAATGAAAGTGTCTGTCAATTTTTAAACCTTTTTCACATTCTGTGCTCTCTTGTAACCGGTGAATTTGGTTACCATCTCATAAGCTGGTAACAAAATATTGCCCCGTGAAATATGCAATACAGGAATTTCCACAAATCTTCATAGCTGAATTGCTGAATATTTTCACTGCATTCAAGCGACGCAATATACGGCTCGGAACATAAAAATGGATTCTCTCAAGTAAGCACAGACAATCAATTTTTCCCGCCACAATACTCAAAAAAACGAGATAGCATGAGAAGTTCTCCGATAATGCAGAGTAGGTAAACTAATTAGCCGACAACGGGAGACATAAGAAGGTAATGGTTCAGAGCCCAGTTACACGATATGTATTTCCATATGCAAATGCTACTTTTCTGATGCGTTCTAATACATATATGATACATACGAGTGCATGCAAAAAAGTAGCATTTACATGTTTGTCAAATTTAACGAACGTAAGGCAAAGCGTATATTTAAATACCCAAGGACAATATTTGCGATGGAGTAAGTAAGATGTTGCAAGAGGTGCTTTTAATTTAGAATAACATTTATTGATGTTAAAGGTAGCCGATTCTTGAACACACCACGTGTAAAACCTGTTAAGCTGCGATTGAAGTGCGGCCGAGTCACGTGAGCAACTGATTTCAGAATAGATTTTCAAATCATCAGCAAACAGAAAAAACCTAACATTTCAAAGACAGGTGCTGATGTCATTAATAAAAATAATAAAAAATAATGGACCTAAGATGCTTCCCTGAGCAACGCCTGAGAGAGCAATAAATAGCTTGGATGAAACAGCATCAATAGTCACCGTGCTAGTTCTCAAGCGCAGGTAAGACCTGATCCACTCCAGGAAGCCTGAGTGGATTTCTGAAAATTCTTACTTGATCAATAAGATATTATGGGAAATTTTGTCGAAGGCTTTCGAAAAATCTGTATTAATCACATCCAGTTGAAAGCCATTACGGACAGTTGAAAAATAATCTTCCGTAAAAACTGCCAGATTTGTCACCGTGGATCGACAAGATACAAATCCATGTTGGTTTGGACAGATCGCATTTATTGACTGTTTTGAAGACTGGCGTGATTAAAGTACGCTTCCAGCCATCAATAAACAGACCTTCCGAACAACAAACTTTACCGATAACATGCAAAAATTTCAAACAGTTAAATCGGATTTTTTTAGGAATGCAGTTTTATAGCTCATCAAATTTTAAAATGATAAAGTGGATGTTTCAAGACGCTAGAAAATCGCGATGATTTTTAACATTTTTATTTTAGCTGACGTTGTTGTGCGTTTTCTTTAGAGCTCTTGTTAAAAATCGAAAATTTTAAAAATTCTGAATAAAAAGTATGGAAATTTTTTCGTTATATTTGGGACAAAGTTTGAAATGTGGATTTACTATATGGTGCCTGGGGTTATATTATGTGCTAGACTTTCAAAATAATAAACGTCAAATAAGCAAAAGAAAAGTAGCCAAAACTGGTCAAAATGTTACTAAACTTAATTAGCTGACCACAAGGGTAGGGCTGCCAGACGTCCCGGTTTTGCCGGACATGTCCCGGTTTTAGACTATTTGTCCCGGCGTCCCGGTCCTACCTTAAAATGTCCC